GCAGTGGGAGGAGGAGACTGCCTGTTCTCTTGATCTGTAGTGGTGAGAAATGCTGCTTGCGATTGGGTTGAACGGTGAAGAAAGATGCCAATGAGGACGCTGTTCTTTCTGTCGCATGTAGAGTCTAGCGACGATGGCTGGTTTTCGCCGCCGACTGTGATTTGGTTAGCGGCGAAGAGAACAGGCCGCCAAGCAAGGTGCGACTGACGGTGAGGAAGAAAGGGGCCGGGGGCACTCGGGGCAGAGACGCTGCCTCTGCCATTACGCCGATGGAGAGGAAGATGCAGTAGCCAACTCCCCGTAGGAAGACACTGTCATTGCTCTCGTTATGGAGAGGAAGACAGCCGCCGTTCACCGAGGAAACGCCGCAGTCGTCACTTGGAGAATAACCACCTCTTAGGGAAAAGTAAACGGTGGGAGTCACCTCCTGCTTCTTCTTGATGGCGCTCGCCTCCTGTGATCCGTCGATGAGGAAGATCGACGGAGGTCGACCCACGACCGAAGGATGGCAGCCGCCGAAGGAGGAGGTGGCTGTCGAAGTAGGCGACCACAGAGAAAGCCATCGGCTCAGGGAGAAGAGGGGAAGATGTCGACGTAGGGAGGAGAAGGTGGTTCTCGGCGCAGGGAGGAAGGGGGAAGACGGCTGTGACAAGGCAGAAGCAGACGATCCGTGGGCCGCGCTCTTCCACGGGTGGGTTGTTGTTGCTGCAGCGACAGTAGTAGATCATCGAGATGTCCACCTGGCGGTTCAAGGGGAAGAGGCGGCACTCAATGCAGAGGTGGGCTGCTGTTGCTGCAGCGACGACAGGCCGATCGACGGAGAAATTGCTGTCGAGCAGATGCATCGCTGAGTTGGGGAGAACACCGACGACGGGGAGAGAAGGGATTACTGTCGTCGGACAGGGGAAATCTTGCTAAGTCGAAAGGAGCTCGAACGATTGCGAAAAAGATGATTTTTATTTATTGAGGTGATGAGAGTGGTTACCGTGATTGATTGGAGCGGATTAAGAAAAGAATTACCATGATGTGGTTCAACTTATTGTTAGAGCAACAATCTTAATAAGATAATCAATCCCTTCAAGTTTATTAGAACAGAGACAGATTAATTGGTTTATGGTTTTATTGTTATTGATGTTGTGACAATAAACTTAGGTGTTGCTCAATAATACGTCAATTAATTGATAAATATATCATTCAAGCACGACATGTCACGTTTTTAAAGGATAACCATGTTATTATCAACCAACGGACAATATAACGATCTAAAGTTATGTATTATTTTAGTTTGAAGTCTAAATAATCTATAATTAATTCGAACCGAAATGTT